GAAACGGAGAGGACTATGCAAATTGTGTCTGCAGTATGGTGAGTTTGACAAAAAAGAAGTCAATGTTCGCGAAAACCCTAATATCTATCCCGTGTATAAGGTCATTGAAACTGGGACACCCTAAACAAAGTCGTTATTCCAAACTGGGGAATAAAAAACTGAAATATTGTTTAGAGATACCTGATTTTTTTTAATTCATGCATTTTTGTGCTCGTCTATGATTTTTTTTCGTCTTATCAAGTTACATTTTCTGAAATACAAATCACTAATCTGAATTACATTTTTCGCCGTCTGATTTACAATCATTGAAAAGTCTGAATTCCAATTAATACTTTCTGAATTACAATAATCAATAATTCCGAATAACATCTCAATCTTTCTGATAATTGAAAAAGTTGTATAGTCTCGATGTTCATTTCGACACTGAAATACAAATTCGAGCAAAGCAATTCTGCAGCGATCTGCAAGCGATTCTCCATTTACAATCAAATAACAATCGAAAGGTATGAAACTATAACAATTATACACGATTATAATTATGGAATATTGAATGCTCTCACGAACACTATTTTGTGGTTGGTTTTGAAACGCAAGTTTAAATCGGGGTAGGTTTAATCAATCAATACTAAATTTCGGGTCCCTTTCTATGTATATACATCATTATATGGAAATCCACATGATTTTCCGTTCACAATGGGATATAATATTTTGCCTACGTGCTATTGTCCCTTTTTGTGGTGTAGGTAATTTAATTTCATTATCGAGGTACTCAGGTAATTTGTGTGTTAAATTTTCATGTACATCGTCTCGTTTCATTATTGTTATATACAGAATGAGTGGATGACTGTTGTGTACATATACACTAGAATAAACATGTTGAATAAATTATTCGAAATCCAAATTAGTTTCTCTTTCATTTTCAGCGGAGATTTACAGTTACCCACAAAGCCCATCATGCACAATAACCCACCATGGCGGCCAAAAGGAAAGAATTCCAAGGGCCACCATAAAAATTATTTAGAAAAATTTACTCAATAGATAATTTTAAGTTTGAAGAGATCATCCTGTGTAGCAGTATGAAATATGTAGCAGATGTCAGAGTGAAGAATTATATATTCCGATATCCCATATTCCTTGGAAAACCACGAAGATTTCGGTACCTATTTTTAAATGCAAAAACTGTTCGTTTTTTAGTCTGAAACAAAACATAGGTATATTTGATAATTGGAATATAATTGTACAGGCCACTCGCAAAAAGTTAATATTCTCCTTTTTTATGAACACCGGCCGACACGTTATGAAATAATTTCCCAATCAGCACCAGACATCTCAAAGACGTACATTTTACGTCCGACTTATGACTTCCCAGGATGTATAAAAGACCAACAATCCAGTATAATGAGAGTTATTTTTTTCGTTGTCCTATACTGATCTACTGAAACATTTCATAATGTACTGAAAAATATTTTGACACCTATTTATTATTATAATTACCTACATTATTATTAATCTTCATATAGTTAATCACATACACTTATAGATTGCTTGATGTATCGGCACGCTCTGTTTTTCATGTATCTTGGTTTTTTCATGTAAGTATATCTTGATTATTTCAATTTAATTTGAGTATTTCTATAGTAAAAAAAACTAATTTTTAAACATGTTATAATTTATCTCTTTCACACACAAGTCACTAACCAATAATTGATTGATTATGATAACATAATAATAATATGTATAAACCAAAAAAGGACAATACTTCATCCTATCACAGTTTCCATGAAGAATAAAAAATTTCATCAGAACTTCGTTTGAATATTTATTTTCCTCCATTTCAATTCTTTTTGAGTCACTTCCGTTAAGAAACACACAGAGGTATTATTATTATAATGCACTAATTGTCAAATTTCCATAACATGACATTTATATTAGCCACCTTAGATGAAAATGAGAAAAATAATTCGCTTTAGTCATCTTCCAGGATATATCATGATATACAGGGTTTTCCATTTGAAAAAACGCACTTTCAACCCTTTTTGTATCCAGCAGTGAGATCATGAATTTTGAACGACCCTGTATAGCGCAGAACAAACTGGATCCTCTCCACAGAATCAATATATATGATCTTGATGAACTAAACACAAAATTTCAACTCCCTAAGAATCCAAATACCGCAGACAAACATATTCAATTCAATATAAAATATGCAAAATAATCAATATCTCAAAAATCGTTAGAGCATAGGTTAGAGATAGGTTTAGGATAGTATGAGGCAGAAATAATCAGAAAGTGATGATAAGTTCAAAAATGCGGTAATATACAGGGTGTCCCATTTGAAATAACAAAGATGCTGCTACTTTCTGCATTGCTGAGAATATTTCAGATCGATCATAGATCAAGAGCAATTACTTGGGTAACCAAATTTTCAGAATGATCATATGTCCGGTTCTCCGTAAACGTTTGAGATGCCATCGATCGTCGTGACCCACCCTGTATTCCTCTGTTATAACAGTTCTTACGTTCAATTTCTTTATTCGTTTCGTATTTTCGTAATTAATTTCTACTATTCGTTCCTGTTTTCTATATACTCAAATCTTATAAGTAACTATGTAACTGTATTTTGTGAAATTTGTGAGTATTTTTGAATTTAGAATTAGGAATATGCTCATTATTGCATGAGAATGTTTGTTTCGTTTGTTCCCATTTTGTTGGGCTGTTGTCAAATTGATTATTCACTGGATAGTGATTGGTGGTGCCGTTAGATGAACTACAATGTTTTTACTTTCCTTTGGGACATAATTTCGTTATCCAGATGACGGTAGAAATCTGCAGCTGGCTCTCCTGCTATAATACGAATTGACACTTTTGGCCCATTGCTGGCTGAATTATAGGCAAACGATTATATAATATGCCATAAAATGAGCGGACGTTTGACCAGTGCAGCTTTGCCATGACCAGCAATCTGCCGATCTATCATGTACTGGGCCAGAATGCAGCCAGAAATTTGATGTTTGCTGGGAAATGAAACACATTCTGTTAATTTATTCGATTTATTGAGTGTTATTGACACAAAATTCAATATGTACCTACTTATACAGCCTAACAGGCTATTACAAAGTCGCTTCTCAGTGCAAGAAATTGAGGATGCAGTACGGCCCTGAATTTTTTCAATTCCTTATCGTTTTCATTGAACCTGTACACTGTATAGATATTTCTACAGTGAGATTAGGAAATGTCGTTACCACTTCAATAACTTCTCCACATAATTATTAGGTATCTATCATGGGCGCCGCCACTGGACCGCAAGGGGTCGACCGCCCTCTCTGGAATTTAGACTTCAAAGTCTAGACGCGGTATTACGAAAGCTCAGGAGTGCCAGTGGGAAAAAAATAAAAAGTCGAAATTTCGACTTAGGAAGTCGAAATTTCGTCTTAGTAACTCGAAATTTCGTCTTATTAAATCGAATTTTCGACTTACTAAGTCGAAATTTCGCCTTACCAAGTCGAAATTTCGTCTTACTCGATATTTCGTCTTATGTAAGACGAAATTTGGAAATTTCGTCTAAGCTCACAGCCACAGAATGGTATTCTGTATGTACTTAGTATCTCTTCATTACTTAGAGCGAGTTGAAAATGAGTTAGAACTAAGCCGTTTATACCCATTTTCGATACTTGAGGTTTATGTCCTCATTTTCAAAATCTTAACACTCATATATGATAGAGATCTGAGTTGAAAAACTAAGAAAACAGTGAACCAAAACTGGCATCCGTCGTGGGTACCTAGATCTAGATGTCTTTTGTAATGGCCAAGAACCATCAATAACGCCGGTTTCATAGGTCTATGAGTTCTGTGGTTTCATATGACTTTTCATGAAATTTCGAGATAACAATCATGTCGACATTTCAAGTTAACCATGTCGAAATTTCGAGATGTTAAGTCGAAATTTCGACTTACTAATACGAAATTTCGATTTAATAATACGAAATTTCGACTTGGTAAGACGAAATTTCGAGTTGGTAAGACGAAATTTCAACTTCCTAAGTCGAAATTTTGACTTTTTATTTTTCTTCATTGGCACTCCAGAGCTTTCGTACGATATTTTGGTAAAAATAGATGGTTTGATTCATATTCCTGTTACCTATACATTAGGGTGGAGCGAAAAAATCAAACTCTTTATAATTTTTTCTAATAGTGAAAAAAAGTTGTTTACTGTAGTGTGCTGTAGTTCAATTGTTACCTTGCATTTTTTGAACATAAAATTATCATCCCACTACGCATCCTTGGATCAGGTTGAGAATCAACTTCTATATATTGATTTCTTGTAGTGAAAAAAAGTAGTAACTGTAGGTCAATTATCAACTCCATTTTTTTCTAGTGAATTGTGATGTATCCTTCACCCTCCCACCGTTTTGTATATAGGGGTGGAAACATTTCTACCCCAAGATTCTCATTATCTCATTGATTGAATTATTTTTTCGTGTTCAAGGTTGGCATTGCAGCTCTTGATTCGAGAGTGGCTTAAATGAGGCCATCTCGAGCTTCGGAGGCAACCACACTCTGAGAAGCTGCAGTTACTAACTTGACACACCTCTCCACCGTCTGAGTATGAACAAGAAGGAGACGAAGTGTACCAATATTTGTTTCATTATTGAAATCGTATTTTTCTTTAGATAGAATAGGTAGGGCTGTTATTTCAATAGCTTGCCAATCAATGAGGTCTATTATAGTTAATCACTTGCTCGAAGTTTACTCAGGAATAACGAATGTTTTGACACAGATCTCTTCTGAGCTTCAGTAAGCGTCTCAACGCTAGTTCTTGAACTTTTGTTCTGTTATAAATTCTCAGTATCAATCATCTTCAAGTATCGATCGGTTCGCAATTCTGAAATGACTACATCCGGCAAATCACTACCAATCGCTTCAAAGGTTATAACTCTATACCTCGCTCTATACCTTTTTCTTGAACCAAAGTTTTATCTTCTCTACCGTCAAAGAAGATCTTATTGACTTCTCAACACTTTATCTTGCGAACAGAGCCTTTTTCTTTTCCTTACTCCCCTGACTCCAGTTTTATCTACAATATTAACATTATCTACCTCTGTGATGATTCCAGCGTCCTTCAGAAGGTCTGATGCTATCACAGCTGCAGATCTATCTGACAAGTCATATCGATCACAAACCTGAGCCAATGTTCTCAGTTCGATGAAATCTGGATCATTTTTCTCACACGCAGATCTTCTTTCGAAGCAGTTGGACATTGACTATGAACATTCTTCTGTTTTGTTCTTGTTTGCTTTGATCGGCCGAGAAATAATTTCTTGAGCTGGTACTTTTTGTGGTGAGGAGGAACTATTTGTCTAGAATTGTTCATTTACAAGAACTTATATCAGAGTTTTTAAATATGCTTGAAAAGTTTTTACTTTGATGAAATAGTTATCATTTCGTCTTGACAATGAATGTCTGAATATTCTGAGGTATACCTGTCATGGAATTGTTGGTTATTATCCGGAAATCATGAGGATATCCAAACAGAGGATACTCCACCGATCTCCTGGTTGATATTTTCTTAGAACCACTCATTTTCAACTCCAAATTGCTGATAATAACAAGGAGTGTGACTTGTTTTATTCACCTGAAGGCACCTGTTAGCAGACTGATACCACTTGCCAGCAGATTGAATTCAGTTGACGGGATTCCTATGAAGGTCATATAGGTGGTATGTTCTAGTGCAGTACACAAAGTGGCAAAGGGCGAAAGTAAGAGATTCGTAGGGATATAATTTGTTGGCAAAATGGTTCCGAGACGATGTTTATAATCAACCATAGCCTATTTTTTTCACTATTACAACTCCCTGTTGCAAAAATGAAAATTTGCCTTATAGTAGCGCTCCACCCTACTATACATGCATGCATATTGCTTAATTTATCGAATAAGTAAGTACGTATATAAAATTGTTTTATATGAAGTTTGATTTACCAGAGAGTTTCAATTTTTGTTAACATTATATTTTTTCTAGAACCAGGTTTCTTATTCTCACGAAACATGTTTCCTTAAGTGGGTTCATTTTACTCATACTTCAAGGAAATACGAGATCTGTCATTAATATTTTGAAACAAAAATGCAATCCATACTTCTTATTTGTGAACTTCTTGAACACATGGGTGAAAGCAATTTGTCATTTGAGTAACGTAAAAAAGTCACAAAATGTTCATGTTTTTGTTGTTATCAAGAACAAAACACCAAGTATGTGCTATATCGTTGTATTCCAAATAGATTGACACGCAATTTTCAGAGACAATATGCTACTAGAAAATAAAAACTGATCAGTATCTACCATCCGGGGGCTGCCAATTTTTAAAAGAGCTCTCAAGAATTATTTAATTGAGAAGTGCGTGTATACAATTTCTACTGATAATATGTGTTGAGTCAATGCTTTGCATACTGCGCCATATTGAATTTAATTTTCAACTCTATGTATTTTTGTATTTTTGTAGATACCTGTAATCCTGACATGTCTTATATCATTGTGTGTGATCTTAAAAGATGAATAAATTTTATTATTATTATTATTATTATATCACATTCTTCATAAGCCATTAGGAAGGTTATTTAATGCCATTTAATGCAGTTTTTTAATGCTTTTGATATCTTGACAAATAGGCGAGATATTGCCTGTAAACGATAACTTGGGACACCCAGTATTTGAATTATGAAGGCTATTGAAAAAAACAACTCAATATTTTTGTAGGAATATTCATTAATTATTCAGGTTATGTTTGTGATTACTTCAGGAGCTCGCAATGGAAAATTCTCGATCTTGTTACATCCAGGATATCCTTGGGTGCTCACAGAAATAAATGCCTATTCATTTCCTGTTATAGATAACCGCAAGGATTCGCAATAATGAGGAATATATCAAATTCTGAGGCGAGATCTCCGCGATTTCTTTCGGACGACTCCAGAGAGTATATTTCCCATGGTGAGAGCCTATAGTGATTGACACCTCGCAGGAGGATTTCGCATTTTGATCCTGAAGATCCTTTTCCTAATACTTTTAAACCACACTTATAAAAAATAACACTCCTTCCTGGAATTTTTTTGACGGCGCCCATGGTACCTATTGAAGTATTGAAAGAGTAATGATTATAAGAAATATGGTGGTAATAATGAAAGTTTGTGATATTTATTCTTTTCGGAATTTGTTGAATTATCCTATAAATATCGCCTATAGAGAAAAGAGTGGAGTTTCGTTCGAAAGGAAACGGATATTTTCCTGTATCAGATCTACCTACTACCTGAATTATACTTGATATTATTTATTTTGTTTGTATTCAAGAGATGAAGTATGGTTTCGTACCTATTATGTATGGGTATACATATAGGTACCTTCACTTCAAAACCAGTAATATCCAATCTATAGTGCTAACACTGAGAGTATAAAAAAAAGGTATCTATACCGAATGATTGGAAAAATCCAGGGGCGTGATGAAAGTAATGAATGAACCCGAATGAACTTCCTTGTAGGGAAGAACGAACTGACGAATTTGGAACAGCCTATCCAGTGATATAGATCGATAAAGGTACTATCTAAATATTTACATTTTTTACATAAGGGTTATATGTATTTCCGAAACTTGAGTATTACATATTCTACTCTGGATTTTTATTCAGAATTTTTCACATTCAATAACCACGAAACAATAACCAAGAAATCACTTTCTATCAGACTTTGAGACGGAGAAAACTGTACATTTTCAATAGGAAGATTATATATCAGGTAAATAATGAGTAAATATCCTAATACTAATAACACGATAATAAAAAATATCTTATTACTAATATTCTGATAATAAAAATATTATTTTATACACTCTCAAAATTGCAGCTCTTGTCTTTCATAGTATACCTAAGAGCAGAAAATAAATTTGGCACAATATATTCCATGAACGATCGATTATTATTGTATTTTAAGGAGGTTGATACATTGTGAAAATCATGAAGACAAAAAGGGTGGCCTGCTGATCATTATGAATGGAAAATTCCAAGCAGACGCTCATGCTTTTACATAAAATATCATAAGGGTTTACATATTATAACATGTTGAGCAAAAATATTTTGGCACGACAATATAATCAAAATTGTAGATTCGAAAATTACGATTATTCATTAATACACAAGTTTTACTGGTGTGATTCTAACAGAATCAATATTTCATCATTATTATGTACACAGAAAATTGGTATATTAACATTCTCAGTTGAGCATTTCCCTCACACATATATTATAGATATATAACGTACCTACATAATTCCTTTGAATATTAAGTACCTGGTACCTTCGATTCAACCAGTTTAGAGCATGAAATGATAGCATTGAGCCAATTTCAAATGTTTTAATGGAAGCAACATGGATGAAATAATTAACTACTCAATAAGTAGCATAATGAGCCCAAGAAAAGTAGGTAGTTGCCTGTGCTCGATTCATGATACATGATAATTGTGAGTTATGAGAAATACAAATTTGTAGTAAAAAAGGCAGTGTATTATTCATGTAGGTAACTTGAAAATAGTCGCATTCCAGCTGAATGAATTCCAAAATATGGATAGAGATTTTCAAATGATTTTGTCGACGCATAAGTGCATGTAGTTCTGGTAAAAGACATAATATGACTGAATCTACTTTCTTCACTAACTACACAACTGTTAAGATGAAGACATGCAATTGATATTCATACAAAATTAGACATACATATACTCACATGAAAATTATGAAAAGTTCGTTTTCTGATTTGGAGAATTACAGAAAATTATAGTATTGTATGCAATTTTGCAGGAAAGTTCTCCGTGGTTCTCGAGTTTCTGTACCTCTCAAGGCAACTGCACTCAAGAATTAAGTTACATTCAATCAAGCCCTGTGAAAAATTGATTTCAAAGGTTAACTCACACCCATATATAATGTATGCATCTAGACCTACAGGTGATTTCACAGACAAATTGAGCCAAAAATTAGATGTCTTCATATCTCATTCTTTTGAGAAATGAGAAAGTCAAGAGCAAATATCAAGACCAAGACCTACAGTCAAATTGAGACAATATAAGATTCCGCCATATCTCATATCTGAAAATCAGCATTGAGAAAATTTACATCATGTAGATGGAAGAGTCATACGGTACACAGCTGAGGTTTACCCTCGTATCTTTTAAACATTGTGGTGTGGTGTGGTCACCATAGTCTAGTCGGCCTTGATAAAAATAAAGAATGTGACGTTGAAACAATGAAACCGACACAATATAATAATTTAAGTGATCCTGAACTAGGGTAAAATCTTTCCATCCTATAGGCATCTTCACTACAAGATGAAATTTTATCTAATTTCGAGAATTTTATTCTCAAATTATTATTGGATATTATATCTAGTTGAACTTTTGCATAGGTAGGTACCTTCAGAAAAGGTACGAAATCAACCGCATAACAAATATTCTAGAAGTTTTGATGGAAAAATGATTCGATATAGGTACTTCAGCCAGCGTAACCTCGTGGTTGAAACGTCAATATTCAATCCACGTTGGATTGCCGGTAGGTTGGTTCGATTCCCACCACGATCGACGAAAAAAATTTTTATGATGGCCCAAGAAAGTGTTTGAGTTCACCCTTCTAAAAGTAAGACCCCCGTCATTCCTTGCTCGCACAAGTCTCTTGAAGACTTCTTAGGGTTGCTCGTGAGAGGGCATACGAATGATGAATGAGAACAATTTAAGAACAACAACAATTTAAGAACAATTGATATTTTGGCACATACACAATACTTATGCGATATTCATAACAGAAGGGGACCTTCTAATATACCTCCTTCTAGTCATCGCAGCCCCTTGAGCCTCACACTCCTTCTTCGACCTGTTAATGATATTCGCCACCAGTTTCTCCTCCTTCATCCGCTGTTCCTCCCAATCCACATTCTTATCGCTACTCCTTTTGCGCACACTCACAGCAGCCGGAATGATAGCAAAAGTCTCGACAATCTCTTCCTTAACGACCACCTGTATGTCTTACTGTTCCTCAGAATGCCTAGTCGCCAAGTGGCCCATATGTAGCCCTTATTCCGGCTGTTGAAGAAGCCTTGTAAAGGTTTGTAATTGCCTTCGGAGTTTTCGGAAATTTCCGTGTACAAGTAGAGACAATGACAGAGGAACGAACGGGGAAATATATGGAGGCTGTATAGTACCATCCTGCCAGCGATCCTTCATATAGTGCATGGTTTTGGGTGACCTCCAGAATTGGGATTTGGGAATTGGGATTCTGCCGCCTGGTGTGTGATGAGAACTCGACCTTCCGATCGATTGATCAACGGGTGTCCCGTTAGCTCAATTGACAAAGCGTTGGGCATGTTACCCAGAGGTTGTGAGTTCGACTCTTGCACGGGGCGGTGGAGTTTCTTTATTTTCCATTGTCACTCGAAATTAGGGCTTTTTATCTTCATAAATAAAGATGAGCATTGAGAAAATATACATCATGTAATGGGATACACAGCTGAGGTTCAACCTCGGTTTTTCTAATCATCGTGGTTTGGTGTGATCACCGCATAGTCTAGTTGGCCTTGATAAGAATAAAGCAGATGACGTAGAAACTATGAAACCGACGCAACATAAAAATTCAAGATGTGGTAACCAGCTGAACGATTTCGAGCATTTCATTCTCAAATTAATATTGGATATCATATCTAGTTGAACTTTTGCATAGGTACCTTCAAAAAAAGGTAGGTACGTCAATCACCCGCATCATAACTATTTTAGTAAAATGATCCGCTATAGGTACTTCAATTGATATTTTGGCACATACATAATACTTATGCGATATTCATTATAGAAGTGGACCTTCTACTATACCCCCTCCTAGTTATCGCTGCCCCTTGAGCCTCACACTCCTTCTTTACCCTGTTGATGATATCCGCCACCAGTTTCTCCTCCTTCACTCTCTGTTCCTCCCAATCCACATTCTTATCGCTACTCCTTTTGCGCACACTCACAGCAGCTGGAATGACAGCAGACGTCTCGACAATCTCTTCCTTAACCACCACCTGTATGTCTTCCTGTTCCTCAGAATGCCTAGTCGCCAAGTGGCCCATGTAGCCCTTCCGGCTCTTGAAGAAGACGTTGCAATGGTGGCACTTGAACAGCGGCGAAGGGCTCACCAGGTTGTTGTTCACGTGGAACTTGTACTTGTGCCTGTACCAGTGAGTCCTGGACGCCAGGACCTCTCCGCACAGTTTGCAGACCTAGGTCAATCAAATGGTGGATAAAAAGGTCTTGAAGTGGAAAGTTCTGGTGTAATTATTTTTAGTGGTTTATAGTATGTTCCCTGAGGTGCTCAACACGCATCTAAAGTTGCCCAACAAAAATTTCATCGGAAAATATCAGGAAATACAAAAAAAAACACTAAAAATTATGTTTTTCAATGGTTTTCATCAGCTTTCAACTCGCAACTCACACAAAAAATGACTCAGTAGTGAAATTGAGAAGGACAAATTATCTACAATTTATGTCCCCTGATACTTTTTTGTATTTCATATGGTTTCCATGTAATAATGTTGAAGTTTTAGTGGAATCAGTGAATTTTTGAAAAAAAAAAAGAAAGAGTAGATAGTTTTCATTTAATAAAGATGAACATCTTACTGTCCAATAAAATACCTCTCTTAAACACAGATTTCATGGCTTCTCCAGTGCAGCTTCCAATCTCCTCTACGCCTTTGACTTAATTCGATAATTTCAACAATATATCAATCAGATTTAAAAGCATTACTATCGAAGATATCTGTCTAATTTGTATACATTCATGTGTCTAATCGAGCCCTATTATAATTATAAGGGAGACTTACCTCCTTCAGGGCCGCCTTGCAGTGCCTGTACATGCCGGTAAATGAAACATTCAAGAAAAGTAATCAAAAATGAGTAGGTACTCGACTTATGTAGCAATATTGATTATTGAACGAGTGTGAAGAATTATTCATATATTTATCTTGAAGCTGATCAGGGAACTTAGAATAATCCTCTGCTTCTTCTTCTATGTCTGCAACAGACATGTTAATGCAGCTATTCCCACAATTCAGACAAAGGCCTGCTTTTTTGCATCCTCAGTTGGTCTAACAGGTCTTCATGCACTTGTAGAATTTTGGCTGTAGCGTTTTGGTAACGGCTGCAGTCCCTTGGATTTTTTCCAACCCCATAGCTCGAGATTTTATTACTCCCTTGTCACTGTTGCACTTGAAAGTATACCCTCAAGGGATGCTGTTACTATGCTGTAGCTTCCGTAAGAGGAAAGGACGCCAAAATTATGGGCTATTGTTCATCAGTATGCAGACTTAAAAGGTAGCATGTATACCTCAATTTGTTTAGGGACGTGTTTGCCTTTTCAGAAATGTTGTACACTGCAGTAAAAAAGGTGAGGTCAGCATAATAAACAGCGTCAGCATTTGCCAAAGGATCTTTAAAATTTCCAATGATCGGTATTGAAGCAGGCTTTTTCAAAGATTTGGAGAAACTTCATATTTCCAACTTTGAACGAGGCTGAGGTTGTTTCACATCCTCCCATGGCAAGGAATTTTTGTCTAAGAGATGTATTTTATAATATCATGGAACATTTTTTGTGTGAACGGATTCCTTTGCGAGATGAAAGCTGGAAACCTTTGAAAGATAATTTTCAGTGTTTTTTGGTAATTTCTGAAATTTGACGATAAAATTTTTGTTGTAAAAATTCATATTCGTGTTCAGCACATCAAAAAACATGAGATAAGTTATCGAAAACAATCATACCAGAACTCACCACCTTAAATTACCTCTCGACTAGACTAACCACGCTGCCGTCCTGTCGCATCATGTACTCCAGGAGCTCGTTCTTCTTCTTTTCGTAGCTGTCGGCGTCCATGTTGGGGCCGGATGTTTCGTCATCGGTAAGGAAATGCACGCCTGCAGTGAGTTCCGGTGGCGGTTCGTACTTGTCCTCGATTTGGATGTTCTCGTGCAGCATGTTCCTGGCCGCTTCGGTGGAGATGATGACGGATTCCTGCTTGATGGCCGGGATGATTTCGACGGTTATGGATGATGGGAGGTTGGTGTGATTCTGGTTGTTTTCTTCTTGATTATCGCTGTACTCTTCTGAAAATAATTGATATTGAGATTAACCCGTCGAGCTGAGGCTTCTTGGAGACCTGCAGAACATCTCTCTCCGAAAACTCGTTTATCCAACGAACAGCGAGGCTCTGGAACACATTGCCAAGGGAGGTGGTCTCTGAGGCATGAACCTTCCGGAATTTTAAGAAGAATCCCAGCAAACATGTATCGCGCGGGCCTTTAGACGCCCTGCAAAAACTGCCGACAGTCAACATCAGCGGGCCACAATCATGATACATCGTCGGCCCGGCTAGCCCATGTCGCACCGGCCGCTAGTACGCCGCCCGACTATCTGCCGACACTATTCGGTTAGAAATAAAAAAGATATAGTCGGAGGAGTCGGACTCAAACTTAAGATCGAACATATATCCAATCAACTCTGTCAGACGCTTATACCACTATAGGCTCAAATTATATTTGTTATTTGATACTGGATTACAAGAAGTTCCTCGTCTGCGTTGTCTTATTGCCTTCTCACTATTCTCTTATTGATATTCGACAAACTGGAAGTTCTGTCAAATTTAGCAGCCAAATACTTTACATAATTCTTACTTGGTAATCTCCTGCCTGGATAACTCCTCATATACTTACGAAGTGTTTCAGCAAGATTTTTATTAACTGAAAAGTAACACTCCAAAGTATACCTCTTCTTTGTTCCAGTGGATATGGCATCGTGAAGAAATTGTCGAACTTTTGCGCACTTATGCGTTACCACCGATGCAACTTACAACGACTTTATGTAACTGGATTGTTGACCAAATGTCAATTCACTTATTCATCATCTCATTCTATTTCAACCATAGCTAACTTGGACCATAGATTAAAATTGTTTTTTTAATTTATGCTTGGACCAAATATTAATATTTAATTTTGCTGATATTTCGTCAAGCCCTCGATAGAATATATGAAAAGTATATATTTTCAAAATCAGGGAAGATAGCTCTTTCGAAATATGCGATGATATACAGGGGGTTCCATTTAAAAAAAAATTCACAAACCCTGTATATCAAATGATAAAATCAAGCGGAGAACGCATTTTCTAAAAGGAAACGACATCTAGCTCATTCAAGAACCTTTTTCCAAATTTCGAATATCTTTTTTCGTTTTCGAATTATCAGCTGTTGAAGTCGTAAAATCCATAGTCAATCACCCTACGTGGTACTACTCGGGACATCCGATGGATGTCCCTAAAGGAAGGTTTAAAATCATATATCTCATCAGGGACATGCCAAGGACGGTTTTAGATTTGCAGAACTTGAAAAATGCCTTTTCCCTCGATTTTTCCATAAAATTAATAATAAAAAGTTTTCCATCATATGAATCGATCAGAAATTATTGTAAGAAATAATAAAACATGTTATGAAAGATTTTATCACATATTTGAACGTAGTTTTCAATTCTAGTCATTTTTTCTATATGACAATTTTCGATATTGTCGAAAATGATGGTACTTATTTACTCTCCAGCAAAATGGATATTTTTTGACATACCTCGTATACGACTGAAAAAATTCGATATCTGATATTCGCGTTTTCATTTTCAGGCCTTGCAGAACTTCTTATAAGGAATGACTTTTTTTCCTAAAACTTATTATAAAAAAGTTTTCCATTGGTTACCACTTTTTCAGACATATATATACTGTACCCAGACAGCACCAGATATTCCATGAATCTCCTTATCATATTCCTTTTGGAATATTGGAATATTCCAGAAATAATCTGGAATATTCCGGAATATCTGTGGAATATTCTCTAAATATGCGAATGGGAATTCCTCAGATAATCATAGAATATACCCGAAAGAATATTCTATGTTGAATGTTCCTGGAATATTCCAATAAACATATTCTAAAATGAAAAAAAAGTGACCCAAGTAGGGATCGAACTCGTGACCTCAAGACTATCAGAGCAACGCCTTGACCACTAGGCCAGTAATCGAATTGAATTATGTTATACATATCAAGTTCTTGTGAGAGCATTGTTCGAAATCGGATCATAAACACTTTTTGTTTCAAAATCCCCTTACATCTAATTGATGTTCGATACTCACATCTCTGAAATAATAAATGGTATTTATGTGTTGAGAAAGATAGGAATATTCATGGAATATTTCATGAATATACACCACAGAATATTCAGTTGAGAATATTTCATGAATATATCGCACAGAATATTCAGTTGGGTATATTTCATGAATATACCGCACATAATATCCAGTTGGGTATATTTCATGAATATACAGCAGAGAATATTCAGTTGGGAATATTCCTGGAAGATTCATACCTGAATATTCCCTGAACATGTCCGACTATTCACTTTGGAATATTCCTTTTAGATGTTCCAGAGGCATGTATATATTCTAGGAATAATCGATGAATATTCGGAATATACTCCTCCTTTTTATCATATTTAGAGAATATTCTATGAATATCCAGTGCTGTCTGGGTACTTTCCTAGAATGATTTGAGATTTTAACATCTACCCCTCCATTGGATGAACCAAGAGTGCTAAAAATATCAATTTTAAGTGTTCCCCTTGAAGATAAAATTGACCTGTCTTTTCGATTCTTCACATAATTTACTTCAAGGAAGATACTGAGGGTGGGAAGTTTCTTCAAAATGTCATGCACATCAGGCCCGGACTGGCTACTATTTTGCTACCGGGCATTATCTTTGACCGGCCCCCAATTCTGAGGTCTGTTTTCTTCGTTATAAATAATTGTTATTTCATTATGTTTATTATAAAAAAAATCAAATGAAAACATTTTCATTCCTCCGACAATAGATAGAACAGAACATAAATGAGAAAAAATAAATTAACTGATACAGTTAGTTATAGTGAAATTGTGAATTTCAAATATACTCTAGATTTCTCCTCAAAGCTGGTGCCTTTATTGCTCTATTATATCTGAATTTTTCAATTTGCTTAATATTGTCTTTTCCACAGACATCAACATAAAGGCTTCCAGCTTCTCTTGTGTCATTGAACTCCTCAGCCTGTTTTTTTATCATTTTCAGTTTAAAGAATCCAGTTTCACATGAAACTTGGGTTGATGAAAATATTAGTACTAACTTTTGTACGCATCAGCGAATAAATTCGCATACGCGGAACAGAATAGGTTATATTTCAGCTGTAACCTATAACAGCAATATAAACAATTTTTGCACAACCCCTTATTTATACTCTTGCTACATTTAATGTAATCGGATCCGAGCTTTTCAATGTCTTCATCGTTATCTACTTCCGCTTCCGATGATAAAACCGCATATTCCTCACACAAAGTTTTTGAGAGTGTTTGCCATTTGTTTGCAAAATCAACCATTTCGGCCCTTAGGATCTCTGCTGTGATATCAGGCATAAATTTGTTGAGTATAAATTGCTCAACTTCGTGAAAGCTTGTAACGATATTCCCGAATCAATGAGTTCTTTGAAGTTATATCAGGATGCATAAAGCTTTTATCAGCATTGAGTAGTCCATGTGGTTGAAATCTGCGTTCTAGAGAGTACTAGCGACCGTATCAAAAATGACACGATGGACTTCAACCATATATTTTTCTGTTGCAGTTTTCAAAGTGATATGTGTATTATATCCACCTGATAAAATTTTGGGCTTGTGAACTCTTTTTTCTGGTAGAGAATCTTCTACAACTGATTCAGAATTGTGTCTCTCTAGTTCTTCGTTAGCAATTGAAGCAAATCTACTTGCTGATTTGTGAATATTTTCAAAATCTCTAGATATATGTTTAATATCTTCTAAAACGTGCATCGCCATTTTGTAAGATTGTAAAACATCTGAACCTTCTGTTCGCAAGTATTCAGATAGAGAACTCGTATATTTGAATATTCGTGAAAATATAATGGCTGTAATAATGGTTTCGAAAGCTAGAAATTTTTGCAATATATCGTTGGCTTTTTTTCTCAAAGTTGCGTTGTAATGCTGTGAACTCAAGAGATGCTCTAGGGTAGGATGGCAAACCTCAATAGAATGGCAAACCTCAATAGAAAAACACGGGGAATCTCTAGCTGTCGCGTTGGACATATCGAAAGCATTCGACCGTGTTTGGCACGAAGGACTCCTCCACAAACTACCATCATACGGCTTACCACCTCAGCTATGCCATCTCTTATCGAGTTTTCTTTCAGGCAGATCGCTTCACGTGGTGGTGGACGGTGTATCGTCTGATACCATTGGCATCAATTCCGGCGTTCCACAAGGATCAATTTTGGCACCAACATTATTCCTGCTTCATATCAATGATCTGTTGGGAGTAACAACTTGCCCCATCCACAGCTTTGCAGATGATAGTACCCTCCATACTGCGTTCTCTTCCAGAATTCACATTTCTTCCCAGGAAACTAAGAACTCACGGCGCAGGCAGGTCAATGCTGTCAATGAAGATCTTGCTGAAATCACAGCCTGGGGAACGAACAACCTAGTTGAATTCAACGCCACCAAAACTCAAGCCTGCCTTTTCTCTAGAAAGGCGGAACTCAGTATGCCCGATATTGTAATGTCTGGCTCCACCATCCCCACCAAGCCCACCATATCTATGCTCGGTATTTCCATCAGCAACACTCTTTCATGGGATAATCATGTCAGATCCATCGCAAAAGCTGCTTCACAAAAACTCGGATTCTTGTTCCGTGCGAAAAGCTACTTTACACCTCAACAGCTTCTCATGATCTACAAAGCGCAGATACGGCCTGTTCTAGAATACTGTTCCCACATATGGGGTTCAGCACCAAAACATACGCTGATGCTCTTAGATTCTATCCAGAGAAGAGCTATTCGCCTGGTGGGTGACGCCACACTCACTCACTCTTTGACATCATTGGAACACCGTAGAAAGGTCGGCGACCTTTCACTTTTCTATCGATACTTCCACGGGAAATGTTCTTCGGAAATCTCTGCAATCATCCCTTCACTAGCAATACCAATCAGACGAACTAGACAGGCCCAGTCAGCACATCCTTTCGTTGTCAACCTCGAAAGATGTCGAACAGCACTTTATCAAGACTCCTTCATCTATAGAACGGCTAGGCTCTGGAATTCATTGCCTGTGGAAGTATTCCCAACGACATATAATCTCCAAAAATTCAAAAAAAATTCCAATACCTACCTCCTGTCCCTATCCTCCCTAGGAACCCTGCCAAAAATACCTTATGAAGTCTCATGAAGAAATATAGATAAAATATGGGTATCAATAAGGATATATAACCGAGTTCTGTAGCGTATGAGTACATTATCTCTGGCACATGAACTTTCTAAAAGGTTTAATGATATTTCATGAGTATATGTGATTTATAAGCGTATACAAATATGGAGTATGAGAGTTTTTATCAGGCACAAGTGGTTTGAGGAGCCTATGACCACCAATAAGATATTCCACTTCCAATTGGAAAAGTATTCTATGCACATTCATGCGCCTTAGTATATATGAGAAATGTGTAGGAATTTACAAATAGAATTCTATTGGGTATCGTCAGGAAAAAAATATATCAGGATTTTAGAGTTTCACTAAGGAATTCCTTATCTAATTTAATGCGATTTCTATTAGCATTCATGTGACTCAGAATAACTGAGAATTTACGAGTTTCAATTAGACAATGAATGCCTAATCTGAAATGTGTCCAATGAGTGTTTATAAGACAACTAGTTTCTAGGTTTATGAGCTCAAATATGAAAACACGGTTCTAAAATTATAGGTTTCTTATCAGCTTGAATCCGGTAAATAATTATTGAGTAATCATAAGTTTTCAAAAGACAATATAGATATAATCTTTAACGTATTTCATGGGTTTTTGTGAGGGTGAAAAGTGTTCGATAAATTATGATATTCAATAGGGAACTTCTGCCATGATTCTATCGGTTGCTGATGAGCTTGTATGTGGTATATGTGGTTTCAAGTATTCGAGATTTCTTATAAGCAATTACTGATCTATAATGAAACGTATCTTATTAGTCAAGCTGAGGTAAGATGTGTTCCAGAATTCATGAGTGTTGATAAGGATTTACCGTTATAACTGTATTCGTATGTTATGATGTTTCATGCGTTATTTCTGTCTAAGAATTCTGGACAATACATGCCTAATCTGAATGGTATCTAATAAGTTTGTATGAGATGTGTTAGTTCTGAGGATTGTTGGGGTTTGAAAAGACATTACTGATTTGAAACGGAATGTATCCTATGGGTCATGCTGAGGCTTGATGTGTATCAAAACTGATGGGTGTTGATAAGGGTATACCATTATGACTCCAATGGTATTTTGAGAGGTTTTATGCGGGATTGCTGTATAAGGATTCAAGATTTTAGATTAGACAATACATGTCTGATTCGAAATGTATCTGATTATTTCTTATGAGATATGTATCTCATGAGGAAATGTTTGTTTAAGGATTCATGAGAGTTGATAGGGATTCACCGTTATGACTGTATCCATACGTTGAAATGAATGATGCGTTATTGGGATTCACGAGTTTTGATAAGACAATACATGTCTAATCTGTATGGTAACTAATTAGTTTGTATGAGATGTGTATGTTCTGAAGATTTTTGTAGTTTGAAAAGACAATACTGATTTGAAATGAAACGAATCCTATGGGTCAAGCTGGGGCTGTATGTGTTCCAGAATTCATGAGTGTTGATAAGGATATACAGTTATGACTTCAATGGTATGTTGAGAGGTTTCATGCAGAATTTTTGTATAAGGATTCACAAGTTTAGATAGGACAATACATGCCTAATCTAAATGGTATCTAATGAGTTTGAATGAGATGTGTATGTTTTCGAGGTTTGTGAAGACAATGCTGAAGCTAAGGATATAATGTGTTATAGACTTCTTGAGGGTTGATGAGGATATATAGTTATGACTTCTAGTATATCGAGAGGCTTTTTCGCAGAGTTTTTTCATGATGATTCACGAGTTTGGATCAGACAGTTCATGTCCAATATAAAATGTTCCTATAAGTTTGTGTGAGTTTTCAATAGAACAATATTTTCAAGTTCAAAATATATATTATTAGATCTTATGAGGATTAATGACAATGATTGACAGTTGTTATATGATGATAATAATAAAACGAGAGGTTTTATGCGGAATCTGTTTACTAGTTTCAATCAGACAATGCATGCTCAATCCAAAATGTATCAAATGAGTTTGTATGAGAAAATCAGTTCAAAGATTTGTAATTTCTAATGAGAACACGCACGGTTCTAATATTATAAGGTTACCAGCAGTTTTTATGAGAAATATAACTTTTGATAGCTCATAACTTCTATTCTGCAAGACACCATTGCGTAGGTACAATTTTTGTGTTCATATAATATATCAGAGTCAGTGCTTGAACGCACGTCATTGTTGAAGGTGAACATTATACAGGGCTCGGCTATGGACTCCTGGGATGAAAACAAGTTGATTTAGGCCAACTTACCTATATCCAAAATCGTCTCGTTAAATTGGTACAAGGCGTTGAAGTTTTTTCGGAAAAAATAATTTTGCTCATAAAAAGAGTAGGCTGAGATTGATTTTCATAATTTTTGGCATGGCATGTTCTGTGACTGTGAGTCACGTTTTGAGATGTTTTTGATCATCATCAGTGACCTGCAAGTATTTCGAACAAATATGTTGCCGTTCAAATTTGGTGACAACTTTTCAGAGGTCGGACTGGAAACTTCCAGTTTCTTTTCCAGAAAGATATTCCCTTCAGAAATATTTTTTGTATCTTGTTATTTTTTCAGGATTATTTGCGAATGAATAATTTCTGATCTGAGGCATCTCATGCATTTTTAAGAAAAATAATCTGGTTGGGACATGGCTTGACTGTAGACTCCTGGGATGAAAATAGGTTGATTTTAGCCAACTTACCTATATCCAAAATCGTTTCGTTTGAGTTGGGACAAGGCGTTAAAGTGCTCACCTTGGGTCCTGTATATAGTTATCGCTAAATTTGAGACGTGAAAGTTCTTGTAATGCCAAAGAGGACCAGCAACTTATCAGTTTATTTACAATAATAAATCATATTGTAGCCATGATCAATAAACAGTCCAACTAATTAGATTAATTTTCAAAAATGCACAGGATGCATCATATCAGAAATTATTTATTTGCAAATAAACCTCGAGACATATCAAAGATAAACACGATACAAAAAATATTTCTGAAGAAAATATTTTTCTGAAAAAAAACTGGAAGTTTCCAGTCCGACCTCTGGAAAGTTATCACAAAATTTTTACGGCAACATGGTTGTTTGAAACACTTGCAGGTCACTGATGATGATCAAGAACATCTCAAAACGTGACTTACAGTTGAGGAACATGCCATGCCAAAAATTATGGAAATTGATCCCAGCCTTCTCTTTTAATGAGCAAAATTATTTTTTCCAAAAAAAACGCCTTGTACCAACTCAACGAGACGATTTTGGATATAGGTAAGTTGGCCTAAATCAACTTGTTTCTATCCCAGGAGTCCACAGCCGAGCCATGTCCGAACCTTTTACAGATACCCTGTATATTTTATTTGAAAATATAACTATATTGATTGTCACTTTCTCGGAAAAAAACTTATTGATTTCCTTTTTTTTTCTATATATTCAACACTCCCTGATTTCGTTACAAATAAGTTTCAGACCATCTTTTATCATCTTTTTTTTTTAATCACACGACCCTTTATATTGCCATATTTTCCGATTTATTGCAAAAACTTCAGCTCATCAAAACAGAATTGTTTTTATATTGGTACTGGTATTTCAACTTGAATACGCACACAATTCGG